TCGGGAAAAGTGGCGTCAGCACATCAGAAAAGCGGACCCCGCCAACAAGCGGGACAAACGCTGAAGAATAAGAAGAAGAAGAAGAAGGAGCACATTTGCGTAATGCAGAGCAGTGGTTATTTTTAAGCGGCTCTCTGAATACGAAAAGCAGTACAGAAATTTTTTGCAGTAACTGCCCTTTTGTACTGCTTGTTTGTGGCATACATTTTCCATAGCGTCGAGTCAGTTCAGATAGATCTCGTGATTCTTTCATTGGAAACAACGTGAACTATGGCCAAGAATGAAGTACTATGGGTGGTATTCCCTGGAAACATTGTGATAAAGCATCATCATCCTTTACTTTATGTTTTACTCCAGTTAGACCACTTCGATCTTTTAGCTGCTAGTGCAGCAGTCTGTCATTGGAATAGCAAAGAGGGTTCATGGTTCGATTTTTGTCAATGCCGGCTTCTGTTTTTTACGGTTTTCATCTTCTTGTGATCATATACGTATGCGTGTAGATATAAATGAGGATTCATGTCAATTACAAGAACCTTCGACTGATTAGCCGTGATAATTGAATACGTGTTTGCTGAGTTCGTATCCTCCCCAGAAATGGCCACAACTTATGATATCTTCCCCAAAAATGGCCACAACCTATGATATTATCAAGACATGTGGTTTCACTCATTGCACCTGAAAAGAAGAGAATAAGCAATCGTTCCCTCCACACGTGACTACGTGTGCTTCTTTCTTGAACGCCTCGTCGGCTGAGGTTAAGAATTGTCAAAGAACTTGGAGGGAAAAGGTTATAACGACAAAATGGGGCCGCGGCCAATAACGAATGCCGTATTAGTGATCGAGCACTCATTAGCTCTTATAAGCGCAGCTCCGACAAAGCATCGAAGGTTAGACTCTAATTCTGAAAGTTGGACCAGCTGTAGGCCAATCACTAGCATGTAAATGTATCAAGAAGAGCGCGGAGTGGAAATTAAGCAACAACTCTCGATAGTTCACACGGAAACTGAGGCCCCTCCTTGTAGGTACGTCTCATATTACTTCGCGATAGCTGAAACCGTTCCAGCTGTCAGTGACATATCGAGTATTTGACCACGATGATCATGGGGTGTCGATGGAGCAGGATTTCTCATTCTGTGCCGGAAAATGATAAGGAGTTTGCCTCGAAGGTGCCCCGCTGCCATGCGTGATGGGCTTCTGGCTTTCTTGTGGTCCATTTTTCAGTTGGGCTAGATTCTTAATTTTCCCTGAAACTTTGACGATAAAGGTTATCCATTTCCCTGACGAATATCACGTTTGATTCTAGTCAATGACGCTATAAGATGGCGCTGATTATACAGAACTTTGCCTTTCATGAAAGAACCACTACAACATGCAAAAAGTTGCTCTGAAAAGGCATTCCTTTGACTGACTGTCTTCTATGAGAGCAGCCCACCTCTCACAATACAATATTGAACTACCTTTACCTTCAATCTTAGAGTGGACCAATAAGAATGAAATCAAAAGAATGCGTTTTATCGAATAATACGTTTTCGTTGCAGAAGAGGTCACCAAGGTTCCGCGGACAGATTCGAAAGTGGGTTTGTTTAAATTCTCTACAGGGTTGCAAAAAATGAATAAAGAGCGTTAGTGGAAAATGAATGACCAAGCTGAACACATGCTTCTTACGCCCTCGAAGAGACTCTTTCAAGAGCTGCGTAGCTTGAATATGCATGATCAGTTCATCTTAAAATTAGTCTAAAGCAAAGATAAAGCATAATCATTCGAGAGACGACCCGATAACGGCAGTCAAATGACGAGTGTGATTTTTGTCAAAACGCGATTCGGTGAGAAATTTCAGTGAGAAGCATGATAATATTGTTTCGCGACTTCAAATTTCAAAGTCAGTTGCTGAGAATGATGTAAGTCGCAGGTATAGAGGGAATCTCCATGACGCAACATTAGTGTCGAGGAAGAGTTGAAAAAATCGACGTCTTTCACGCAAGCAGCAGACAAAGCTCCGAAAATATGAAGACCAATGGGAAGTTCCCTATAGTTAATCGGGTCTTCATTCAATGGAAAAAGGACTACGAAGAAGCATATAGAATAAGATTAAGGTCAAACACACGTAACTGTGTTGCTCAGCGATCATTCGAACCTACGTAACTAAATACTACGTCTCACTCTCCGCTGGATTTTGTGGACATGGAAATAGAAACATAGGCTATTATTACCCACAGCAGAATTTTTACTAGCTGTCAATAAGTGAAGGCATAAAAACCCAGCTCAAATACATGGACAAAGACAGTCCTTAGAAGGATTGAAATGGATTTTTGAAAAATTTTCCTTTGAGTAATGAAAGTTTCATTTATTTAAATAGGGCCTGCCTAAGAGAGCTATCAAATTTGTAAACCATATTGTATAGAATTTGTTGACTTTTGCTCATCAATGTTCCTGTACAAATCATTGTGTAGGCCATTCAGTTAGCTTAATATCGCATTGAAAACGAACCACAATTATGTATTCTGCCACCAAGTAAATGCCCACCTTGTAATTTCAAGGCATCCAACGTTAACATGAATACAAAAAAGTTTGCAGCTGCAATAAACTCCATTTCGATAATCGCCTTGTCCGGCGCTCTTCTTTGTCTAGTAAGAGTGAAAGACTGTCTTAGTAAAATGTGTGTCAGTTGTGAGGACGTTTGAGTTGAGAAGAATTTTTTGAACCTTGCAATCAATTAAGTAGTCCTTTCCGTTTATTGTCGAAAGGACTACTTGATTGATTGCAAGGTTCAAAACCAATCGCCCTTCCGAAGGGGCAGATCATTCCAACCTCAAGGAAAATATTCAAATACCAGCAACAATTTCAGGTCGTATTCGAGGGGTAAAAACGGCCAATAAGTTGTATATGGCGAGTTGACTGCCGATGGAGAAAGGCAAATAAAACCGCCGATGAAAACTTTAAAGAGGGACTTCCCCTATCTCCCTCGAAATGAAGAAATGGGCGTGTCGCGATTGCTGTTAAGCGAAACTTAGTTTCTCCCGGCCCCGCCCCCGCCCGCGGCCCCCCGCCGCCCATTCATTGCTGGAGCTCGTGTTAGCACGAATTGCGACTGCGCCGTTGCTTCGTGTTTTTAGATGCTAAATCAGATTAAAGGAACGAATTCACGCTGGAAAAGCAACCCATTTCAAATTAAGTTAGCGATGCTGAGTGGTACACTAAAGAAGGAAAAACCATGAGAAACGGCCCAGAACCCGAGAAATGGGACCCCTTCCTTGCCCGTTGATTTGAGCATTGATGCGACTATCATCGCTGTGCCCTTCTTCAACGCTACGCTCTCTCACCTATCTAATCACTCACCACGTATAGACCTGCGGCGAGTGATCAGATGATCGGTGGGCGTGCACTGACCAGCCGCGGCGGGATTAAACCTTAATAGGTCAACGAGGTCAACTCCTCCTGTGCAAATTGTGCTTCAGTTCGCACACTTAGGAGCTCCGCGGGTCCCTCAACCAGGTGAATTCTTCCTAATTCGATTTTCCCTCTGATCGTGAATTCGTCCTTTAACTTGTCTAGTTGCGTGATCAACCATTTATCGCAAACACGTCTTCAGGAGGAAGCGAATTGTTTGAAGTAGAATGCCCACACAAACAGTTGTACAGCGGCAGAAGTCTTGGTGCAAGTATATCTCTCCCTGCGAAGTGTACATAAGTCGAATAAACCAAGCAAAGTACAGCACGTGTGCGAAGATACATAAAGGAAGGGTATAGCATGTCCTTGATCAAGCCACTTTTAGGAGGCGCGCATTTTACTTCTATTTGTGACATCCCTAGTGGCGTTTGAATGTGGTTTGTTCTATACAATTACTTGCAGGAGCTAGCCGATGTACAAACCAGTGCATTTTATCCTCACAGACAATTCTGGTAACCAATTCGTGCTACTTGCCGCTACACCTCTGCCGCCCTACACGCTAAATATGAATACTGTT